CCCGGTAAACCGTAGGCAGAGAGAGAGAAGAGGACAACAAACGAGGGGCTGTGACAAACTATATATATATCGTCACAAACAGAACTGCCCGGTAAACCGTAGGCAGAGAGAGATAAGAGGACAACAAACGAGGGGCTGTGACAAACTGTTTCGTCGGTGTTTCACCGACTCATCAGGAGGCTGATATATATATATATTGTCACACTGTGAATCAGAGCGCGGAGGTGAAAAGAAGCAAAACAAGGAAAGCAAGGAAGGAAAGCCCCACCTGTTCATCACCTCTTACGTACAAGGCCAGCCGCGTGGATGACAGGTTGAGTGCTGGCTGCCCCCATCCCCGTGTGTCACAAGGACCCACTTGCACGCAGCCAAAAGGCAAAGAGGTAAAGAAAAGGAGGAGGAAACCAGACCTCATAGAGGCAAGAAAAAGAGAAAGGTCAAAGAAAAGACAAAGGAAGAAAGCAAATGACACATCCCACAGATAAACCAATTGCCACTGTCACTACAAAGTTCAACATATTTTTCTTTTTTTCTTTTTTCTTGCTTTGTTTTTTCTTTTCTCCAGAAATTTGTACTTTCTTTTATCTGTCCTACAATTAGTGTTGCTCCTGATCGCTTGATTCTATTGACCAGTTAGGAAGAAGAGCCCCCACCCCGGCAGATAGGACAGGCACGCTGAGGATGACATGGATGTTCACAAGGATACCCAAGGAGAGCTACTTCGGCACAGCATTCAGCAGGACGGCTAGCACGGACCATCCCATCAAAACAGTCCTGACAAAGGACATGCTGTCCGCATGTCAAAAAAACAGCAGGATGTTCATCACAGTGAGGCATCATGCAGTCCTGATAGCGTCCTTGAGCACAAAAGGGACAACGAATATCTGGGTGATAGGGTGTACAATGAGGAAATGTTGGACACCCTTCGGCACAGACGGCGGCGGCTGCAATAGATTGATAATGTTGATGGCATAGGTGATGAATTCCGCAGCCAAGGCGCACCGCGTCCCTGTCCCGACAGGTGTCACACGAGAGACGATCAATAATCCAGAATAGAGTATGATTCGGTAATGCACTCAGAAATTCATTTATGTTGAAAATAGCCTGAATCATTATCCCACCATCCCACAGTTCCCACTGGGCAGCTGCACGAATGAGTGCCATATAATGCCGAGGTCTGTCCAAAATACAGGCAGAAATATGAGGATGCCGCCACTGCCGCCCAGCATCCCTCAACTGGTGTGACAGGTAGACGTAGGTGCAACTGCCACCCACCGTCGGTCCTAGAGAAGATAGAAGGGATGTGTACAGGCGCATGATGGAGGGAGGAACAGACGAAGGAGATAGAACATGAAGAAGATAACAGCGCCGGTAGCCATGAATGTTCAGCAAGCAGGGTCGGCAATCAAACAATCAATCAATCAATCAACTTCATGTCCAGCATGTCTTGCTGCGTGCCTGGAGAGGCGTTTGCAACATTGATTTTGTTTGGTCTCGTCCCTTCGGTGAACCAATCAATCAATCAATCAATCAATCAATCAATCAATCAATCAATCAATCAATCAATCAACAAATCAATCAATCAATAAAAACGTTGCTCGAAGGAAAGCCATTGGACTGTGGGCAATCAATCAATCAATCAATCAATCAATCAATCAATCAAGCGCAACTTCACTGTAATGAAAGCCATGGGCGTTGACATAAAGAAAAAGAGCCCATGAACTCTACGCGGCAGCAAGCGTCCAGTAGGAGTTCATCGTAAGGCAAAGGGGGGATGAACGGCTGCCGTCTTAACCCGATTAGAACGCCCGGTAATTATAGCTGTATTGGGGGCACCTTTCAGTCTAGATACAGCGATAATAACCGAGCGCTCTATTCGGGTGAAGACGGAAAAAGGAGTCGACGATTGTAGGCATTTGGTCAGCCAAACCGCCGTCGTTGCAGAGCGTCTATGACTTGTCACTCACTCTTAATGGGACGTTTCTCACAGAAGCCGTGAATTGCCCGTGATTAGTCGATTGCATTCGGTTGATTGATGAGCTAATTGATCGATTGGTTAATTGGCTAATTGATCGATTGGTTAATTGGCTAATTGATCGATTGGTTAATTGGCTAATTGATCGATTGGTTAATTGGCTGATTGATCGATTGATTGATTGGCTGATTCATTGGCTGATTCATTGGCTGATTGATCGATTGATTGATTGGCTGATTGATTGGCTAACTGATCGATTGATTGATTGATTGGCTGATTCATTCGCTAATTGGTCGATTGATTGATTGGCTGATTGATCCACTGCACACCCCTCGACTGATATTTAATCATGGTTGATGGAGTGGATGTTCGATCGGTCGATCGACTGATTCATCGATCGCTTTACTCATCAATTCATATACTGATGATTGATTGATTGATTGATCGATTGATTGATGAATGCATCTACTTGCTGACTCTTTTTTGATTGATTGACGAATTGATCTACTCATTTGATAGATTCGATTGAGTGATTGAGTGATTGAGTGATTGAGTGATTGAGTGATTGATCCGACGGGATTATGACATAGTGATTGGACGACAAAAGCAGCCAGGCAGGGGTGAGGAAAGCGGTCTGGAAAATAAAAGGACCGCTTTCTCAAAACAGGGGAGGAGAACATACCGCGGAAGAAGTCGACACCTTGCTTGTCAAAGTCTTTGGCCCTGAAAAAATGTAAAGGTGCGTATCTCTCTCCTGCTTGATATGGCACGGGAATATGGTCTTCGCCCACAACACTGAGGCCAAACTGCATCTCGTACTGCAGCCTTTTGGCACTGTTGAGCACTTCGAGAAAATACACGTTGGGTAGAAACTCTGGCGACCAGTTTGGGCTTCCCGCCAACATCTGAAAGCGGAAGAGATTCAGCAAGCTATCACTTTTCCGCCGCACATGGAACAGTTTGATGAAGTCGTTCATGATGTCTGCGTGCGTCATCGCTGTCCAGTACCGCCACGTGGACAACGTCGACCAATCAGCACATATCTGCGTTATGGCTATTGCCTTGGTTGTGATCACTGACTGTTGAACCGTCATAAAGACGGCCAGCACTGCCGCTATGCAGAGATGAACCCAGAGCAAATTACAAAGCACTTTCCTGTTCAAGAGCGCGGGCGACCATTCCTTCTTCCTCCCCCTTTTATTATTGGCCCCTCGCTTTCCCCCCCTGCGCTTCGCCGACTTCGATTTGTTCATCTTCTTTCTGCGACCCGACGAATCGGGGGCATCGTCATCACCTCTCCGCCACGTGGCGAAGAAAGAAAACACCTTGGCCGCCGCTCCTTGTCCCCCCTCCTCCCATTCTCCTTCTTCTCTTCTTCTTGCTCTTCGTCCGTCTCCCCTCCTCCTCCCTCCTCCTCCTCCTCCTCCTCCTCCTCCTCCTTCTCCTTCGTCCTCTCCTCCTCCTCTCAATGGCACCACGGCTGACACATGTACAGAAAGCAGCGGCGCCGCCTGCGCGCTCCATTTCTCAAAGCTCCCTCCCTCCGACGGCAAGGCGGATCCAGCGGATCGTATTTGCTGAACTTTGGCGGGAAATTTGGAGGGAAATTTGGCGGGAAACGATGACGTGGCACCGGGATCTTCACCTGAAACCGGACTGAGAATCGCCATAGCCGCCGGTGGCAGCCACGTGTCGAAGTTTGCATGTGACGTTAGAGAGAGGGAAGGCCGCCCAGCGAGATTCTCTCAAATTAGTCCAGCGAGAGATCAAACGGACAGGAGGAAACGAACAAGAACGGGCCTAGCTCTGTCGGTACACCCATAGACTGACTGTTGAAATACAGGCCCGAGTTCGAATCCCATATCCAATCAGATGAACACAACAAAAAATACTTGGGAATTACTGGGGGTCGGCCAGCTCAAAGATGGTAATCCAAGCCCATTACCCTTTATCTCTTTAAAGAAAGCAAAAAAAAAAAAGGAAGGAAGGAACAACCAAGAGCGGCGATAGAATGGTTTATGAGCAGGAATGAACTGGAACAAATGTCACATCCAAGAGAATCTTCCAATGGACACCAAAATATATATATATATATCGTCAAAGAGTGATCAGAGCGCAAAGCGAAAAAAAAGAAAAAAAAAAAATCGTTTTTTTTCCTTCTTCCTTACAACTCCCCCTGTTCAGAACCTCCTCTTGCGTACAAGGCCGCCCAAGTGAATGTATATTATGTATATATACATACATTATATATATATATATATATATATATATCGTCACAAACAGAACTGCCCGGTAAACCGTAGGCAGAGAGGGAGGGAGAAGAGGACAACAAACGAGGAGGGGCTGTGACAAACTGTTTCGTCGGAGTTTCACCGACTCGTCAGGAGGCTGTATATATATATACAGCCCCTCGTTTGTTGTCCTCTTCTCCCTCTCTGCCTACGGTTCACCGGGCAGCTCTGTTTGACTATATATATATATCCTGATGAGTCGGTAAAACGCCAACCAATCAGTCTGTCACAGCCCTCGTTAATTTTTCTCTTCTCCCTCTCTGCCTACGGTTTGATTAACTAATAATTAATAGATATATGTAAATGTAAATGTAAATGGAGAAAGACGGGAAAAGACTGCTCTAGAACGATGAGGGGGAGAAAAGACATGACGGTGGGTGTGGAAGGAGGAACGAGAGCCTGATCAATCAGTCAGTGATGGATGCAAGAAGATAGTTTGCAGGGTGCATTACCGGCAGTAACTACTGTAATACAGTGCAGTAAATATGCAGTTGTGTGCCATTTCTTTTCTACCATAAAAAAACAGAGAACTTTTTTTTAACATACTAATTACTACTGTAGTACTGATGACTCAGTGATTACGTCCATTAACTAATTATCGAGCAAATTAGTCAGTGATTTCGTGCATTATTAAGTAAATTAACTAATTATCGAGCAACTGTGTGTGTGTCGTAACGATACTGCAATCAGAAAACCCTCTGACTAATTAGCTGCTACCCTAGTTTACACGGATCTATCAATTCTCCATTTCAATCCCAGACTAATTAGCTAATTAGTTTGCCCTTTGATTTTATCCATCACCGACAATTTCCGGCTTCTCCGATCCCTTCATGATCCTCGCAGCGCAGTCTTCCGAACGGTGCGGAAGCAGCAGACGCTGGCGGACCGCTGGCGGAAACTTACACTTCCTCATATCCTGCCTGACTCATCAAAAATACCGCCAGCGATGCGACCCCAATGCGATGATGACCCCATCCCGTCATCAGATAGATTGCTGCTCCGTTCACCACCGCAAAAACTTTCTTCACAGCTAGACCGCCACTACAATACAATCACCAAGTACCCCTCTCTCTCTCTCTCTCTCTCTCTCTCTCTCTCTCTCTCTCTCTCTCTCTCTCTCTGTGTGTGTGTGTGTGTGTGTGTGTGTGTGTGTGTGTGTGTGTGCCGCCCGCCGTTTTCCCCCCGTTTGCATGTCCTGTGCAAGACTGTCGGACTCCTAATATATCACAGTTCGCTCTCAATCACTCTGCTGATTGGTGCTTGAGAGCGGATTGGACACCCACCGCTACCAATCAGCAGACGACGGCTTGTGGCTCACGAAAACGGATATTGATTAGCCGAAAAAAAGCGGGGGAAAAAAGAAGGGGGGCGGAGGGGGGAGGTTGTGGAAGGGGCGGGAGGAAAAGGCGAGGGGGGCGGGGCGGGGAAGGCAAAAACGAAAGAAGATGAAGAAGCAATACATATACATAGATACATAGTATACACATATAGATAGATAGACACATATAGATAGATAGATATAGATAGATAGATAGGTACCCATCAACAGGAGGATGTGCGCTTTCAGCAAACAGTCTGGTAAGGATCCAACACTTGTGTTTTCTTTCTTTGATGGACGCAAATCCTTCCAACACAAAGCTGTTGTTGCCGGTTTTGCTATCTATCCATTAGTCATCTATTGATTACTATCTATTGATTATTAGTATCTATTGATTAGCATCTATCGATTAGCCACACGTAGGTATGGATGAGTCGATAAATGGTGACGCGGAAGATATAGAGAAGAAAAGTGTCCAAGAAAAGTGTCAAGCGGATAATCCCGTCAGGTCAGGTCCAGCGAGTCCGCCTTCATCATCTAAGTATATAGGTGGCGGGGATGATAGAAGAAGACCAGCAAGTAGACCCATCATCAGATTCATTTGCGCATATACATATATATATACATATATCAAAGGGTAAAATCATCTAACGCGGGCATGGCCTGGCCTGGCCTGATGGCTGTAGATAGTACTACTACTAATTACCGTGCATCCTATTCGGGTAAAGACGGGCGGAACGGATGCCATCTTGTATCGCGTCCACGTCAGCAACACGTGGCTGGATTAGGAAAGAAACAGCACACGTGGCTGGATTAGGAAAGAAAAAAGCAGAGATAATAGCTACGTGGGTGGCTACGACAAATCAAGAAAAGAAAAAAAAACGGTTATTTAACCAACGACCCTACCCTAGCTCAGTTGGTGCAGCCAAGAACTGCTGAAACACAGACCCGAGTTCGAATCCAGATGGAACAAGAGGACTGAAATAACATCAATTGAATAAAATAAAAATAATACCTGGGCCAGGTCAGTTAGTCGATGATATCGTAAGACCATCGCCCTTTGTGAAAATAAAAGACAATACCTTTCTCAGCCTGTTGGCTAAGATCAAGTGCACTGTATCTGTTCTTCTGATCAGTTAAATATCTGATCCGTGGTCCATCAGACCACAAAAAAAAAAGAAAAAAAAGAAAAAAGAAAGAAAGATAAGATAAGATTACCCCCGGAAAAAAAAAATAATAATAATAAATAAAACGAAAAAAAAAAAAGATAAGAATCATAAGATTAGCATGGCCCTTGCGCTTTCAAGAATGACACGCATAAATCGAGAAATGGTCCAAAAATTTTATCTTGGCGGTTCCCCGCGGAGGGTGATGCGAGAAGTTCATTGAACCTTAGAGGAGGGAGGGAGAAGTCGTTAAAAAAAAAAAAGAAGAAGAAGAAGAAGAAGAAGAAGAAGAAAGAGCTATCTATCGGACGGCAGTTCACCACAGTGCCGACAATCGGATCAACAATTACCGTCTTCCCCCAACACCACGCAGCCTGATTCTGAATGTATACAGGCCATTTTTCCGGCTCGATGCAGCCACAGGAAAGCTGCCGACCGTCGGATCACCAACCACCGTGTTCCCCCGAGCACAACGCACCCTGATTCTGAATGTAGAAAAGCCATCTTTCCGGCTCGATGCAGTCATAATCAGGGTGCGTTTTGTTCGGGGGAAGGCGGCAGTCTCCTCGACTCAAGAACACCCTGATTGTGAATGTATACAAGCCATCTTTCCGGCTCGATGCAGTCATATCAGGCTGCGTTGTGTTCCGGGGAAGAGGCCAAAATCTCCTCGACTCAAGAACACTCTAATTGTGAAGGTATACAAGCCATCTTTCCGGCTCGATGCAGTCATAACCAGGGTGCATCGTGTTCAGACATAATCAGGGTGCGTTGTGTTCGGGGAAACAGCGCAAAATCTCATCCACTCAAGAACCAGTCCTCCACCCGAAAACCACTCACCGACCCAGGAAAAAAAAAAAAAAAAAAAAAAAAAAAAAAAA